GTGTAGCTTCCAAACTCTTGCTGGTTCGCTGGGCTGCTGAATTCAGTGGTGCGGTTTGTCTCCTGGTGACCCGCCCTGCGCGGTGTTGGCTTTTCCAGACCTCAAGAGCAGGTAGACTTTCTGCAAGTTGGTGCGACGGTGAACAGCTCCGCCTTGCACGATTCGAAGGCGCGAAGGAAAATCTTCGTTGCCTCGTCTGCCATCGGTCGCTAATGAGAACGGTGCCGCGGGCGTCCATGTCCTGGCGAAGGATGCGCCAGGTCCATAAAACACGGGGCCGGTCTCTTCCCTCAACCTTCCTCCCTCTTGACTGATCCTTCCTCCTTCGGCATTCGTCTCTCTTCTCTCTTGCCGTCGTTGTCCGTCGTCCTCGTCGCTGGCGACCGTTTGTTTTTCCTGCCTGCCCGGACCTCGTGCCCCTACGTGGGTTCGCGCGGGGCCAAGCTAGAATCTTTGGATCCCCCCTGCGTCTCTCCTCCGTCCGCGCTCCCATGCCGTTCCTGCTTCATTCTCCCTCCCTTCGCCCTCTTTCCCACCCCTCCTGCTTCCACCCGCCCTCCAACCCTGAAATGCTCGCGTGGCGAAAAATGATCCCGGCGGAAGGTTCCGCGCAATTCTTCACGCTTCCCGTATCCCCACCAGCCCATCCAGTTGCGATGCCCAAGCGCGCTTTCCTTACCGAGACAGCGCAGCATCATGTCGAAAGCTCGGGGAGCCTCCGTGGGCCAGAGGCTTCTTGCAAGCCTCGCGGAGTCTCTTGGGATGCCTCTCAGGGTCTCCTCGAGGCCTCCTGGGGCCTCCTGGAGGACTCCCGGCGGTCTCGGGGCCCCTTGTGGCACTTAGGAGGGCCTCTTGGAAGGCTCTCGGGGCGTTTTCCTAGATGGGGTCGGAGTAGATGGGGTCGGAGGATCGCGCCGCATCGCCGATGCATCGGCGATGCGGCTCGATGTGGAGCCCGATGTCTTCTCTTCGACGTCGCGGATGCATCGCCGACGTCGACGATGCATCGTTGGTGCATCGCCGATGCATCGGCGATGTATCACCGATTTATTGGCGATGCGGCGCGATCCTCCGACCCCATCTACTCCGACCCCATCTAGGAGGCAACTAGTCTTGGGAGCTCCCTGGCGGTGTTCAGACCCTCTTGGGGCGCCCTGGGTGCCTCGTTGGGGCCCCGTGGGGGCCTCATCGGGGCCTCTCGGAGGCCTCCTGGGCACCTCACGGTGCGCTCCACGGGCTCTCGGGAGAGCCTCGGGCCGTCTTGCGGCCACCATGAGACAGGGTGGCAGGTCGGGCCTGTCCCTCCACAGGAGGAGTATTCCAAAATAGTCTAAAAATAGCATCCGTGCGACCGCGGTCCGCGGGATCGCGCCCCAGAATCCAGAACGCGAGAGTGCGGATGACGATAGGTTCGCCGCTCGTGATCCGGCCCTCTCTCGATCCTGCATTTCCAGCCCCCGCCGTCCCCGCAGCGCCAACGCGGTGCCTGGCGCAGTTCCCAGCGCTCGCGCCTCGGAGATCGCCGACGTCGTCCTTTGTTGTCACGCCGCGGCTCTCCTCCTCCTCCTCCTCCTGCTCCTCCTCCTCCTCCTCCTCCTCCCTGAGGTCTGGACCCCTTTCCGCAGCGAAATCTGAGCCCTACCCTCGCCGATCAACAGTTCAGGCAACTCGATGGGCGGCGGGTTCGGGGTGCGGAATTTGTCGAACGCCCTGCGAAATCCGAACCCCACCCCCGCCTCCCATCGAGTCAGGAGAATCGATGGTCAGTGGGGGTGGGGTTCGAGTGCAGGCACGGGCCCCAGGAGACGAGGCCCAACACTCGAGCAGCGGTGGCGCGCTTCGGCTCGCTTACGGGCCCTTTTCTGTCTGGGGAAGTGTACGGCTTGAACCCATCGCTCCTCATTTCAAGAGCCTCTAGCACGGTTCTCCTACTTGATCGTTCGGCGCTGCTCTGAGAGCATGCCGTGGTAGGCCCACAGGCATGCCCGGAAGGTCGGCCCCTGCTCAGGTATAGAGAGAGAGAGAGAGAGAGTCCCGAAGCGATCCTGCTCAGGAAGAGAACCCACACGTCTGCGCTCTTCTGCACCCCCGACCCAGCACTCGAGCAGTGGGGAGCGCCGCGCTCGGCGGCAGCGGTGGACCTGGCCGCCGCCCGCGCGGCGCCCCATGGCCGCCTCCCGCGGCCGGTGGCGGCGGCCCCGTGGCTGGGCCGCGGCGGCCGCGGCCCTGCTCGCAGGGAGGGGGGCCGGCGCGGAGGAGACGGACGCAGGCCGCCGGCGGCGGAGGGCTTCCACCTGGGCGGCGAGCGAGAGGGGCAAGTGAGGAGGAGGAGGAGGAGGAGGAGGAGGTGGTTGAGGAGGAGGAGGAGGAGGAGGAGGAGGAGGAGGAGGAGGAGGAGGAGGAAGGGGTGCGTGCACCCAGTGGCCTGCCGAAGGAAAGGAGGAGGAGGAGGAGGAGAAGGAGGAGGAGGAGGAGGAGGAGTGAGGAGGAGGAGGAGGAGGAGGAGGACGAAGAGGAGGAAAGAGGAGGAGGAGGGGGAGGAGAAGGAGGAGGAGGAGGATGAGGAGGAGGTTGAGGAGGAGAGGAGGAGGAGGAGGAGGAGGAGGAGGAGCGAGGAGGAGGAGCGAGGAGGAGGAGGAGGAGGAGATGGAGGAGCGAGGAGCGAGGAGCGAGGAGGAGGAGGAGGAGGAGGAGGAGGAGGAGGAGGAGGAGGGGAGTAAGAGGAGGAGGACGTAGCGACGCGGCCAGGACAAAAGGCTGCCACGTGCCCAGGAATAGGAGGAGGAGGCCTTTAGAAGGCGGCGGGGCTTCTCAGCAGCCCTGGCGCCTTCTGGTATTTGTTTTGTGTCTTCGGGGCAGGCTCAGAGAACCTATAGCGCTGAATCAGTGTCGGCTAGCGTCGATTGAGCGTCGATTCAGAATCGACTAGCGTCAATTCGCAAGAGCAAATTCAATGGTATGGGAGGCTCCCGTGAGTGGTCACAGGAACAGTACGCATTGCGCGATCGTTCGTATCACGAGGCCGGTCTTGCGGACTGGGGGGCCAGATTCATGTACGTGGTTGGTGCGTACGTTTTTGTGGGTTCCCTGTGATCCCCACCCTCACCAGGCCATGGTACGCACCTCAGCCCTTTCATCCCACCACGACAGTTGGGGATAGGCCCATCGAAACCCGAAGGGAACAGCCTACATCCCCATCTAGGGGAGTAGATCGGCTGGTGGGGCCGATAGGGATCGGTTGAGCAATGCTCAGTTTTCGAAGTGCAAGGTTTCGAATGTTTTGGAGTGTTTTTTGTCGCCGTTTCTGGCGTCTGGGGCACTTCTCGTCGTCGTGGCTGGATCTGCTTCGAAATTCTGTACCCCAGAGCAGGTCCAGGGAACGACCTTTGACGCCTGGACCATGACATCCTCGCGCCGCCTCGTTTTGTCAATTTTCTTGCTCTGGGGGGCCCTCGCCGGGCCCTGGGACCGCCAAAGAGCGACTCGGGACAAGAAGCTGGTCTCAGGGAGCGGGTTGAGACCTTCGGGGTCCTCGCTGCATAAGAAACAGCACGACGCCGGGGTTCCGAGGAGTGACCCTTCGTGTGCTCGGCGTCACTCGAACATATTAGTAGTACCAGTATGACCATCCTCCCGGTGACACGGAGGTTGGGGGGTGAGGGGGGAAGAACCAATTGCTAGCCAATGCGATGGGTGTGATGATGATGACGACGCTTATGACTTGTCCTCGTTCTAGCGACGACGCGTGATGACGACGTTGCGCTGCGATGTAATGCCACTATGGATCTCGCTTTCGATCTCACTATCTATCTAAATATCGATCTCACTATTGATGCCTCTGACCCCCACTATCGACCTCACAACCAATGTCACAATCAACCTCACTGTCGATCTCACTTTTGATCTCACTATCCGTCCCATTCTGGCGATCTCATTATCGATCTTACGATCGCCTTCGCCATCGACACCACGGCGGGACAACCCCGCCACCGCCGATGGAACACCGACGGGATACCAGCGGGACACCCCATGATACCCCGGGCCACCGCGCGCCCACCTGGGGCACGAGGGGAGGCCTTCTGCATCCGAGTCGCTCCAGCGACGGCGGGGTCATCCCTCGCGCGCGCCCGCGCAGGTTCGCCCTCGTCCGCACGCACGACGCGAACACGAGACCGACGCCGATCTCCTTGCGGGGGGCTCTCTGTTCCAGTGCGACCTCACTCCCCAAGCTCCGACGTGTGCGTCGCCCTCGGAAGGGCGTCGCGCGCGCCGAGGCGTCTCGTAGTCTATGCTCCGTTGTGGGCCCTTTCTGGCCATGCCGCTCGGAAAACGGTGTACTACAAGATGGTTGTACTATACGTCACAACCCACCAAACCACCCAAACCCAACCCGAAGGCCCCAATTTGCCCTCCATACCCAGCGGGGGGGTCTCGGAAAGCGTCGACAAAACATATGTGGAACCCGTACCCCTCCCCCAACCCGAAATGTGGGTCTTCGAGTTCGGTTGGGGTGGTCTGGTAGGTACTAGTCAATCTGATCTGGTTGGACGCGCGCCTCCGAGGAGGACACAGTACTAGTATGTCCATGTGCGTCCGTGGCGGACCCTTTTTGGCCATACCGCTCGGGACACGATGTGTTACAAGATGGCTGTGCTGTATGATATGGTCGGACGCGCGCCTCCGAGGAGAACACACAAAGTACAAGTGTGTCCTCGTGCATACCAGAACCAACATAATAAACATCATGCTGCAAGACGGCTGCACTGTACAATCTGGTCGGACGCGCGCCTCCGAGGAGGAATCAGTACTGGTACAGCCAACCCGCATAGCGAGGATAAGGGACTTTCCAAGGTTACCCTTGTATATGTCCCCTTCGGTTTATTTTTGGCCGCTCTTGTTGGCCGCGCCCCGCTCGCAAGGTGCCGACGTGGCCCTTCAAGGCCCGTGCATCCTTACCGCGCATCCTTCTCCTGCGTGTTGGCTGCACGTCCCGGTGCGCC